CTGTCTGGTCTATTGAAAGCACCCGCTGTCGAAACCACTCCTGCACGTGAGAGACCCGATGCTTTGAGTCGCTGCTCTGCTGACAGACAAAGCCAGGTCGTGTGGCAGCTGTCTACAGATACATAACATCTTCTAGAATCTAAGTCTATACTACGTTTCCTTAGTTCTCAAAGTCTAAGAAGAGCGCTCGCTGTGAAGTGGGTGGGAGTAGAATGTGATTGGATAAGCTGAACCGAAGTTGATTGGCTTACGTTTCTTCTAGTCGATTATTGGAATGACAAAAACATATTACTGATGCATGACAGCAAGGATACTAGTAATGTACGGCACCACGAGAGGGAACGTTTTGATCCAAAGAATCAGCTGCCAATTGTGAAACTTGGCGGAGGCTTGATAAGGTTGCCTTGGAAAAAAGTGGGACCACGCTACACGACTGAGGTAGCGATGAAGGCAGACGTTTGCTGTCATGTTTTGGAAGGTGTCATGTATCCGTAGGCATGGCTGCCGCCCGACCTGACTTTGTCTGTCGGCAGAGCAGCGACTCAAAGCATCGGGCCTCTCACATGCAGGAGTGGTTTCGACAGCATGGGGTGCTTTTAAAAGACCAGCCAGGCCAGACTCTTGAGCCAAACATTACAGAACCACTAGGGGAGGACCTACAAATTCGTATGTCAATGAAAGAGCCACGAAAAGACGGGACTACAGAGAGAGACCCCACTAGAGAGTGAGTTCATTAGTTGACCCCGCATTCAAATCCAGTTTATGTATCCAATACTTTAGAGAGTTCTGGGCAATGTGCTAGACTTGCTTAATGTTAGTGACTGTTTACTTGACTGTTCTGTTGGGTTATACATTATTTAAATCAAATAAACGGATCAAGTGATCTTTCACCTGCCTTCATTAATTTCGAAAAATCTAAAATTTTCTAAACCCAAATTTGAGCTGAAGGTTGAAATTTTCTGTGTGGATCATAAAACACGTAGTTAATAATTGTTGCAAATTTGGAGACGTTCCAGTGACTTTCAAAAGAGAAATCATGAAAAAACCGTTTGTTCATAAATTTCTGGCCACTACTGTATTACGTATAAGTTAAAGAGGTGCACAAGGCAACTCTGAATTTTTGAATGAATTTGAATTCTGAATTTTGGTATATTTTCTCCAATATGTTGGCGTCTACAAACATATTTTTATGAAAACCGTGGACACCCGCCAAACAATGTCACCGCACTGTCAAGCGCTTTTCAATGTCTTGAACCTAATGGGAAAACAATGTGAATTGTTCTGATGAGACGTATTTCTTCAATTCATCTTTGAAGGAGATAGCAACTCGGCCGGAGGTCTTACTTCTTGATGGTGCGGTACGCCAATAAGGATTACTTGAGCTGTCAAGACTTACGGCTTTTCCTCGAAACAGAACAAGGGGTGAGTTCCGCGAGTAGTTTGAGCTTCTCAGATTTTTGACAACAAGACGAATTCAAGAAAAAGAAGTTGAAAAAGCTGATAATTACCAACCTGGAAGTCACAAATTCCAGATGTCTGGCGTGACGACGGAGTTCTGTGAAAACGTCGTCGAGCAGTACGAGCCCGCGCCCGAAGCAAAAGACAACAACTTCATGACTGTAGACGGTTTGTTTTATCACTTGAGACTATTTCCTGTCAGAGGAAATCTGAAATGTAGATTTTTGAGCTGCGAAGTATTGAATACGATGTTTAGAACTTGAATGATTATGTAGAAAGGTAACGGTACACGTCGTGCCTACTAACACATTCGAAGGAAAGGAACTGTGAAGAGTTAACAAAGTTCTTCAAATTCCCTAATGCCTCTTTTTCATGGGATTCTTATGCGCATAGTTCAGTGGCATCATTTGCGTAGGAGCTTAGAGCACCCAACTACTGGCTCCAACTTGAACCTTCACCACTTCAAATATAAAGGTAATGCTAAGCCAGTTAAAGAAAGCTGTGGAGTGGATCTTAAAATGACTCATGGACCATGAGCGTGGTGAACGGGCAACTGTCCTCTACACCACTCCCGCGTCAAACACCAACATATACCTTTACCTTCTTTGTGTGGAGTGAGGAAATCTCGGCGCTCTCGGAAACTCGGGAAATGAATCCTAACGCAGAAGCAGTTACTGCCTAAGTCATGGGGCGCTCCACCCTCTCAGCGGTAACGACCCAATGTGGGTTGTCTGGAGCATTTGATATTTGCTTTGATTTTAGCAATAAAATCTACCGTTTACCTCGAACAAAGCCCGCATCCTTCCTTCTCCTTTCGAGATTCATTCAAATTTATTCATTGATTCAATCATTCATAAGTAATACGATAGCTGCGACCCGATTTTGTACAGAATAAGTTAAATAAAAATATTTCGCAATCTCAATCGAATTCCAGGTTTCACTGCCTTTCTTCTGTCAAAGGACTGCTCCATATTTGATCCATCACATTCCAGAGTCTGGATGGATATGAAGCAGGTGAGCTCTTTCTCTCCATTCCAAAAGGTAGAAGGCCAAAAATAAGTAGAAAAAAGGTTCCTCAGCACAACCCGAACTTTCAGCCATTTTCGAAATATTTCATCTCGGCCTCCCACAAAACCTATCTGGTCGAAGATCAACAAGGAACAGCCAGCTTGGACGGCTTGTCCAGTGCACTGAAGAGGAACTGCCGGATGGTTGAAAGTCAGTAATACCTTTGAGTTTTTTTGACAGGCCATTACCTAATGGCAGGAGGCACGCTTTAGCAGGCATATCCATCAGTGCTTCCCAAAGCTGTTTTGGGTTGTCGACTGGGCCATAACTTAAGAGCAGTTAATTACGATCCAAGGATGAGCCCAAACACTTATGTACTGGAAGGCTACACTGTTTATAGTTCCCATGAGACCGGATAGAACTTGAGAGCGGTGCGCACCCTTGGCAAGAACTCACCGACAAGGTTTGCAAATGTGAACAGTCGGCAAAGGCCAGTTCCTCTCGTAGGACTACTCAAATTCTATCAAAGTTCACAGAAACATATGTATATTGGATCCAAGTAATCATTACGGCAACACTTTTAGACCTTTTTACTTCTGCATCCCATTTGGCTCTAAACAGACCTTGGGAAAGAAAAAATGGCATCCGGGCGGTATCCTGCGCCACACGCCGCATACGTGCGATTAAGTGCCCCCAGCCTCTTTGATACATGCATAACAATTGTCTCTGCTTATAATTTTAGTCGACATCTTCGACCCTTGTGAAGCTAAAGGAGAGACGGAGCCAATGATCCAGAATGGAATGGTAGCCGTCAGTAAAGTGCCTTTGAGCCAAGCTCTGAAAGTGATCCGCGAGACGGCGTTCGAAAGGACACGGTGAGCAAGGGGCTCTTGAATTTTTTCCTAAACTTTTCGCCGCGTGGTGGGCGTATAGATATCATATAGTTAGCAATTATCAGCTCAAAAGCGTTAAATTGTATCGTTTATTTTTTATTGATGTATGAGATGTCTACCCATGGCAACGGCCGTTCGCAATGTGGCAAGAATTGAAAAATGTTGGTAGAAAAGTCAAGGAAAAGGGGGAACCCAAAAGTGTTAAGAATGCTTGATAGCCTTAAAATCACTGTGGAATATGTCACGGATTATTTGTTTTAGTATTTCCTGAACAACTCCTAAAACTTCAAAACCACTCCAGCGGCTTATTGCAGAGGGGTCAGCTTATCTTGAAGTCATCCACTGTCCCTCAGAATAACGATGGGAATTCTCTTCCTTTTCGAGCACCAAGGAAAGCTTAAGATCATTTTGATTTTACTGTAACCAAGAGCAAAATGGTAGAACACTTTATCGGGCTAATCTTTAGGCCTTATCGCTTCGTCAGAACCTGGGAGGTCAAAGATAAATGCGTCCATTTTCATTTTCGAATAATCCGCCCTAGACTAAAGGCATACGTACAGATAGGACCCATGCTTTCTAGTCTCCGTTCTCATCTCGACACCTGGGGTCTCCCGAACTGCTTGCCTCTCAAACTCATCCACCGAACAAAAAAGGAGAGCATTACTTCCAGTTATGTGGTTTCTCGAATATCCCTAAGCCCGGCAGAGTCCAAACGCACCAACCATTGAAAATGCCAATTTTCAGAAGAACTTATGGAGGCCATGCAAGGATAATCATATTTTGAAGCTAACTGAAACGTGCAACGCCCGATTGCATTCTTGCAGAAAACGTCCCACACATCCAGCGCAGCAAACCTTATGGACCAAAAGGGTTCAGAAAAGATCCACCGAGCTCATGGTGCGCACGGTGGTACGAAGTGGCGGGGTACATGAAGTTCTTTGTAAAAATATCCCTAAATTGCTTATGGGTGAGTAGAAGCACGTCTTTTTTCAATGACCTTCAAGGGTATTGAAATATGAGCCCACTCGTTAGAGCCGATGAGCTTCAAGGCATGTGTGGATGAAGTGGAGGTCGATCAATGAGAAGTATATCACCTATGAAGGAAGGCGGGCTTAAGGGGAAAGGAACGAGGCACGCTTTGCAGCAAAAAGTGCGTTAGTAGCGGCTAACAGTGCCTTACGCGGCGATGAAATCTCCTTGTGGTTGTGTCCACCCACGACCAGGTATCCAGCTGTTGGTCCCTCGATGACTCAGCACGAATGCGACTTAACCCAACGCGGATCCACGGGGAAGCGAAATCTCGCAGCAGATTCTAGACCGTTGCCTAAGTTTTTTCCTCACCGCTGCACCTCCTTTCGACTCCACTTCCACACAGTGGACCACCAACTCGCTGTAACATCTGCCTTCTCCCTTTTTTCCCTGAAAACAGCCTAATTTTCTCAGTATTGAGTCACTGGAAGACATCCACAAATGCTCCAGTTGTGGTAGACCCTTTTCAAGCTCCACTTCGGACAGTGTGGTCACGGACGAGATTTGACTTGTCTCTGTCAGACAGGTACATAGTTACCAAGGCATCTGAGAGTTCGACACAGGAGATCTTGGAAAAACAGTGGTTCGTGTAGGGGCTCAATTTGAGGACCCATAGTGTCCATTTACCCGACAATCTGACGCAAATTCTATAGATGTCTTCTTGTGCAGAGGGACATCTTACAGCGCCTTTTTCTTTTTGAACATATTCGTCAAATTGCGTCAAGGTAATACAATGAGTTGGTGGCAGTAATAGATCAGATTGACAGAAGGGGGGGGGGGGGTAGAGGGCTCTCGTCATCAAAATGAAATTTTGCCGGTAGCTCAGCTCCATGCTAAATTTATGAAGCAGTTCTTGGTGCTTAAGATTCGCCATGCCGCAAAATAGAGAAGGCAACCGTGAAGTGGATTTTTGGAGGGAGCCACAAATCTGTTGATTATTATTCTCCACAACGATTCCCTGACCTTTTACATATATGTAAGCCATTATGTCAACCTTTTTCGAATCCGGAAACTTGAGAAAAGAAAATTTCAAATAATTTTCAGCACTTAGACGAACTGTCAACCTGAATATTTTGCCATTGGAAAAAAATGTTTAGGTACCCGCTTCTACTGCGACTTTGCGTTCACTGCTCTGAGGATTGGCAGAAAGTTGCAGCAAAACTGATCGTGACACATTTGGGAACCAAGGTAATTAGCATACATATTAATTATCTGTGAATTTTCAACTGATCTCAAGCGAAATATGTGAGGTTTTCTTAAATCACGAAAAAATCACGCGGGAATTCTCTGTGGAATCGGATAACAACTGGGAGCTCTTCTGAAGTGCAACCGTAACTCAGAACCAAAATGTCGAAGAGTGGATCAACATCTATCGTAACCACGAATTAAATGCTTTTCTTTTCGCAGCTGTACTTACCAACAGCCGATCCAACCGACTGGAATAACGAGAAGGTGATTCCAACTCCATGGGACTTCCAATCTCGTGTTCTTATTATGGTAGGAATTACCTTGATTTTGGTTCCCATTTTTCACATGTTTATTTATTTATTCTTTGATTTATAGAATTAATTTATTGCACAAAGGTACGCCATTAACGCGCGAATCAAGGGCACAACCTAGGGAGAAGTCTGAACAGTTTTCCTCGGTCTGTAGTATAGACCTCTAAAGGAAAATCACTGATGTGGCACTTCAGTGTATGGAAATTGCCTAACAAGGGCCTTAGGGGTTTGCGAAGTTAGCTGCATCAGCTGCAATGTTCCCATCAGCAGCTGCTTATCTGGCGCGTCTCACCTGTAGTGCTCTCTCCCTAACACCCTCCATCCCGCACTCACCATCAGTCTCTCATGTCTTAGCACAGCCGCATTACGAAGGTGAGCGAGCTCTCAGCCTAAGCATCGGCTTAAGCATTTCCAACAGATCCTTTCCCCTTTTTCTTCATATTTATTTCCTGTCTGCATAAACGAATCTGTCCACAAAAATACTCTACACCTAACCTTTCTATTTGAAATACATTTTTGCTCTCATTAATTGTTGCTTTGATTTGAACTTACGTCACACTTATTTCTCGATTATTTATCTTTTTTTCTATCTGCCGTACTGATTGTTTTTATGATTCACCATTATTATAGGGTAAACGTCTATGCTGTTCAGCAGAAAGCGGCGAAGTTTCCGAAGATGATCACGGTATAGCCAGTTGTTCACGGCGGAAATCACAACGGTAAAGCGGGGATTTTCGGATAGTTCTACTCTGAATGCCTGTAGGCTAACCAGGAAAGGTCATTAGGCCAACCCGGCCAAATGAAATGAGGTGCACATTTCTGTACGCAGCATGAGACGCTGAACTCAAATCTGCTTTCATTATCTGCTGAACTCTTCTCTGAAAGGAGTTACGGAGGGTTTTTGTTGCCGCCCTTGATTTTCAGTGTTTTACCTGCAATCACATGTTAGCCGCACTATAAAAGTATCGAAAGGAGAACCGAGGCACTGGTGATGTGAGCCTAGGTAGCGCAGTTGGTAGCGGTCGTGTTTCTCACGGAGGGGGTCGGGGGTTCGGTCCCTTACGGGGTTTGTTGTTTTGCTTTTTTTCCAACATGGCTGAAAAGCCTTTTTGAATCTGTTATTTTACCAATGGTCGCCCGACGCTACATCTACGAAGAGTTTGCAAGCTGACCCTCTTAAACTTAAGCACTACTTGTCTGTGAGTGCCCATGGTGCCCGTAGTGCAGGTGCTATGCTTTTCCGTGGCAAGTAGGTACGATATTCGTATTCAGGGGATCAAACTACCCCTAAAAACGAGTTTTTCGCCAAATCTGAGGTGATGAACTAATTGAGAAAAAGCGGAGCAGTGATGGGATTACCACTCCTCAAACTCCACTTTTTTGGGTTGACCAATCATGGACGACGGGGGAAAGGGGAGAGAAGGTGTTGTATTAGGAAATAATGCTTTGCAGATCTTTGGATGATGCAGACGGGCAAGCCAGACACAATTTTTGTCTATTATGAAAAGTTTTTAAAGGTTTATTCTACCCAAGTGCCAGCCTTTTGTAATGGATTGGTGGATCGGTGAGTAAGTGACTGCCCAAATTTTCGAGGTTAGGTCAAAATTTCAGAATTCGCTAGAAGTTTGCTCAAAGGGAGAGTCTGGCTCCCTGATTACGAATATCATACTTGTTCGAAGCAAAAATGCCTGGCGCCTGCGCTACAAGCGCCCAAAGTAGTGAGGAGCGATGCCGCCCAAGTTCGTTATTAATTGCCCTTAAATTCTTTGTACTGTTAACTATACGCAAGCATGTTGGACTAGCAATGTTAGGAGTCTTCCTAGCTATCTTACTGCAAACGGCAAAAGAACAAACTCGCCAGGGAGTTGATCCCCTGACCTCTTTTTCGTGAGCCTCGACCACAGCCCCTGCGCTTTTCTGCTTCATAATTCCTTTCAGAGAAGAGTTCAGCAGATAAGGAACACATATTTGAGCTCAGCGTCCCAAGGCGCGTATACACATATACATCTCATTTCAAATGGCCGGGTTGACCAAATGACCTTTCCTGGTAAGTGCAATATAAAATCAGTTAAGCCAAATATTTATTAGGATACGATTATGTCGAGAACTATCCGATTTGGTGCCACCATTTCTGCAGACGAAGTCTTTACATGATCTCATGGCTACGGCTCCCAACTCGTCAACAAGTATGTTACCGACAATCTTTATGAGAGCCTGCTGCTCAATTATAAGACAAATTGATTACCCAATTCAAAGCTAGAAGTCGAAGAACGACGTGAACACTCTAATCCTTGTTTATTTATTTGTTTGCTGTTTACAGTTGACTGTTTTCTGTGCTGGCCTCATACGAGATATCGACAAGAAACAATACCAGACTTTGCATTTTAGCTATGTCTGCTTCGAACACCCCGCCCGAATAGGCATTTGCCTTTCTTGCTGTGTCTTTGGAAAATCTAGAATGTGGGCAACAGACAAGCAGACAGACAAATCAAGACGGTCAGAAAGACAGCGCTTTTCGTGTAGCAGGGTTTTACCAGCCAGAACTAGCTTTCATGCGCTACTTTAATTTGATTATATTTCTGAAATGAACCGAAACAACCTAATATAGCCGCACTGGTATCCATTTTTGCCTATGAAGAGCGAATGAGCATGTTGACTTTCAAAAATACTGCAGATAAACAACCAGGTGAAGCGTAACAGCAAAGAATTACCACAAAATATAAAATTTGGATATATTGTTTACATTATGACGTATCGAAACGAAAGCATATATGGGGAATTAGATTTATTCAAATGCACTTCAGTGAATCCTCGACAACATGTGGCGATTTTGAGTGAGACCACGGCTCTCCGACTAACTCATACCTATGCGCCGGAATTTGGGCAGATGTCGAGGAATTATGTTGTCTGGTGAGAATAATTCTATTTTTTCTGGATCACTTCATAAGGGCAGAGACTGTGTTGCGGCATGTGGCACCACTTACGCGCATGGTACAGGGGCAGAATGTTGAATCGAATCCCTCAGGTCATCAATCCTACCATCCCAAGAGATCGGTTAATCTAGTTTGACTAAGAGGACGAAAACACTGACCTGTACGTGGACTGGCCCCCCGCAAATCATTGTATAGGCTATGTCGAATTGATAAGCAATTAAGATTCTGAATGAGAGTAGAATGCGTGGTGCATCCCGAAAAAGATTGATCGAGTACGGAAGCTTCACTTTTTGACCTACATCATTTCGTGGAAAAAAAGTAGTGAAGCATCCCAAAATCAGTCAACGCTGCTTGTACACGGAATTACTGGGATGCCGATCCCCTACCCGTATAGGCTTAGGTTAGCGGGAAGAACATAAACAGTGTGAGCAATTATTGGCAGCAGGGGTTCAGTCACCACCAAAATTTGGTTTGTCGTGCACACGTATTTTAGAGAAACGATAATATAAAACTTGGTGCTCTGTCTGGCACTGAGCAGAGATCCTTCTGGCCACTGAGCTAGCACCGTCGTAAACTAGTCTATGGCCCCCTTTCCAAGCTGTGTTTCACTTCACTCCACACCCCTAAGGAATATGGTCAACGCTACTGATGCATTTTCAGTGTGGAACCGAACCCGTCTCGATCAGATTCATCTAATCTGAATCCGCAAGAGTTTTGGAATCACGGCATACAATTGGTCGGCCTCAACTATCAAACACCGGGTCTCATGGTCGACCTTCAGGTTACCGACACATTCATACCTTTTTGCCTATAAGTTTTTTTTTACCTGTTTATCCATTAGTTCATAGACACCTAGAAAAATCTGTGAAGCCTAAAGAGAAACTGACTGCCAGATACATCGGCATAAGAAGGCCAAACCTCAAGAACCCTACTGTCCATTTTTTTCCACCTTTTCCAATTCAGCATGTTTTTTAACAGGAGCACTATCCCGGTTGACATTTTGTTGAAAACGCATTTCCTGCTCATGTGGAGGCGAAGTCACTTGGGCTAATGCGCCCTCAGTTGATGCTCCTCTTTCTGTTCATCCTTGGAGAGCAAATCCACCAGCCAAACCATAAGTGACTCGGCCTACGTTTGGCATGAAATGTGCCTTCGCCTAAAATGTTAAACGACCTACATAGCATGACCAGAACTTTTCTACTCCTACTTGCTCAGAACATGGCCCACTACAAACAACAAATCGGCGACCTTCTCAAAACTACTCAAATTGACGAAACAGTTTCTCTTGAAAACTCATTTAAGAGCATTCAATGAATAGTTCCAGAAGAATCAAATCAGAGCCGTGAGCTGGCTGAGCTATCGCATTCCGCTACCATTTTTTGGATTTTAGTTAACGCAGTAGAGGGAAGGGTATCTGTAATGAGATGGAAAGCAGCCTACTTTTGTTCGGTATACTACAACTGCCTTCCCAAGGCTACACTACAGTTTTGGAGTCATCGAATGTGGCGCCTTCAAGCAATTGCCAACACGAAACTAACCTTCACAGTATACATATAATGAGAAGACTCGTTGGAATACCTTCCAGAGTTCAAATCCTTTTTGGAAAAGAATGTAAATACATAGTCAAGAAGGATTTTAGGAGATCCGACTTTTACACCCCGCCCCAAAAGCAGCCACAAGTTTGCCACCGACGCCATCGGCAGTCATGCTGCTGGGTGAATGCGTAAAAAAGGGCGTCAAAGCGACTGCCGACTTGTAGCTGTTGTAGTTGCTTTGAGGTTATCACAAAGGAGTAGATACTAAATGTGGAAGAAATAAAATTATTAAATAAAATTAACTTTAATGAATATGTAACAACACATATCAGCTCTGATAAGCCCAAAAAATTTGCCTTAGATTCGGTCAGTTTTATCTTAAATGTTCTTAAAAATTCAGGAAGGGCGATTCTCAGAGAACGGCGGCTGCGGTTACGTGCTCAAACCACCTATCATGAACGAGGACCTGTTTGTAGTCGGAGAGAAACCGCCAACGACACCTCAGGTCAGTACATGAGAGCGTCATAGTTCCCTTCTATTGACTCACAAACTAGTACTATTCAAAAACCCCTGGAACTTCTCACCCGCCTCACGGCTCAAGTCGCACAGCCCCGTGAGCTACACAGGGTTGCAGCTGGCCAAAGCAGGTACTTGACATCATAGGCTACGGAGATTTAGGCTAGATCAATCGTATGTTGAGCAACAAAGAGGTCTTACTTGGTGAAAGGGGCACAGTGCAGCACTTGTTTATGCCTACTCTGCTAGACGGACTTTCAGGAGATGAGACACACGTCTCAGGTAGAATGAGGCAGAACTGTCCGTAAGAACACTTCGGGCTCGGAGCGAACGTCGCTAGAGATTTCCACCATGAGATTGGGAAGGAGGGTAGGAGGAGATTAATGTCTAACCCTAAATTTTTCAGCATAACGACTGACTCTAGTTTACTTACCGCGGAATAGCTCTATTGCAAGGCAATATTACAAAAAAGCAGGGTGTGGGTTGGTTGCGAAGGATTCAGGGTTGGATCAAGGAAAGTTCAGCGGCAGATTCGCTGGGGCAGAGTAGGGTCGTGGAAGGTAAGCGGAACGCACGAATTTCATGTGGAAGCAATAGGAGTTCTTTTTGATTCGAAATTATCGGTTCAGCAAAAAAAAAGAACCTAAATTCCTGAAACTCTCATTCCCAAATATTTCCATGTGTTAACTGCCCTTTTCCAATACTAGGCGAATTTTTCACCCTCACAAAAGAATTTATTTTGTCAAGGAACTTGAAATTGCTTCAGCCAGATTTTATTGATCAATCCGTTCAGATTCTTCATCTACGAGTGCTTTCTGGTCAACAGTTACCGCGGCCAAGAAATTCGAACGCCAAGGTAAATTTTTGAATTTTTTGAACATTCCTGTTTCGGAAAGTTGAACTTTTCACGAGGCTTATTCCATAGCACAGGTTTAGGGAAGCTATTCACGAAAGCTTTCACAAATTCACAGTACATGGCGTCATGGACAATTAAAAAACATTATTCCAAAAGGAATGCACACAGAATACATGTACTTTCTCTATCCTTTGCACTTTCTTTTTTAAAGTTCGTCCTTCAAACTGCTTCCATCGAAAAAGTGTACAATGAGGCATCCAGGTTCAAAAAGCAGGGAACATTTTTCTCAAGGTCACTGGTAGTTTTGTGGGGCTGTTGGCAAACTTCTGGAAGTATAATAGCTTAAGGTTCACATTTTAAACTCTCCCTATGCACACCCTCTAAAGCGAGCTATTTTCTATCTATGGGTCGCCACATACATCATTTTGCACCATTTCTGCGCTAGAATATTACAACCTTGAAGATCTATCTCAGTGAAGACATTGGAATCTTCCACTTCTTCAATAGATTACTTTATGCTGACTTCTTCTTCACTTACTTATTTTTACTTCAATAGACTGCTTTATGAAAGCTCTCTTTTGTGAATTGCAACTGAAACTTCTAGAGCTTTTTTGAGGCAGTAAATTTGTGAAACAAAAGAAACTAGATGAAGTTTCAGACAAGAACTTCGTTTACTGCTTTAGGGAGACTCATCGGATCCGTTCGTAGTCATCGAGATATTTGGCATCCCTGGACTGTGCCGAGGAGCGAACGAAAACGGTCAGAAACGACGGTAAGTCGTGGAAATTTATTACGAAAATTTTTATCTAAGGATAAACAGTTTGTACGTAGTTTGGCTGATGAACTGCACTACTACTACAAAAGCAGGGTAGAAGAATTCATGATGTAATCCTCCCCTTCCCTATCGCGACGAATTGGCGCCCTCCTCTTGCCAGATCGCTCACCCACTGAGCCAGTCGCGCTCCAGGCAGAGTGGACCGACTGTTAGGAAGTTTCCTATGGAAAATCGTGTTTGGAAATGTAATCGTATTTAATGAGCCCCGTCGCTTCTTCAACTGCCCTCTTAATCTCTCCTCGATCGAAACTGACTCGGTGGAAATGAAAAGCGCGAGGTTTGCTGGAGATAAATCGGAAGGATTCTAAGAGTAGGAAGGGAGTTGTCCCTGAATACACGAATTGAAGATCATCGCGAAACTTGCCAGATATTTATCCTGAAATCTTTCTCGGCGGCCAAAAATTAATTGACGTGGCCCTGTGTTTTGCAAGCAATCCCTCGCGGCACTCACCGCGACGGCTATGGTCCACTTGGCACAGCTCAAGCAAGAAGAATCGACCAAGCACAAAGACTAATCCCATCATTCTGAGGTAGTTTGTCGTTGTGTTGTGGACGAGCTTGGAAATGATCCCCAGATAGATGGCAAAGGCTTAGGTATTGTTGTTCTGCGTGATAACTCCAGTGCGATGCATTTATCACTCAAAGGCCTCAAAAATATAAGCAAAATAAAGCATCTGGCATAGACTAATCCTTTTTAGGATGGCGCTTTGGGTTCTACTTCCATTAGCATCGGAAAGGCATTGGGATGATATTTGACCTAACTATCTTAGGGCGTGACGGGAAACGGATTAGTGTTTTATCCCTCAAAGGAATCTGGTATCACCGACCAAAAAGCTATGGGTTCCGTTCGAAATGCCTCAGCAGCGTCAATGAACGAGAAGATGAAGTTTGAAGACACGGCGCCTTCTTGAGCCCCCATCAGCCGACTATTTAACAAGCTACTACCAACAACAGAAACCCTCGCCACAGCGCACCCTCCCATTTACCCACTTGTTTCAGGCCATAACCCGTCATTCGACGAGTCGTTCCAGTTCCAAGTATCCGTACCAGAATTGGCGCTAGTGCGATTTTTGGTGCTCGACGACGACTTTATTGGTGAGTTTCAGCAATTTGAAGGTAGCGAGTACGACATAATGGATCTTCGCCCGGGAGGTAGAATCTGTGGTAGCCGTAACCAGGCGATAAAGGAAGTATAATGCAGAATTTCAGCAGGAACGGTGCGCTAATCGTAACACAGTTAGGCTCTAAACCTGAGAATCTCACTGGCCCTCCAAAACCACCCCGACTTGCAGTTTGTGATATCATTATCATTAGCTTTCGATTTCCATTTAGAAAGTGCCTCACCTCTGATAAAATGGCATAACTTGTGATCCAACCGCTTGTGACGTTTCGTTGCGCACACTATGCAGGATACAAGCAGCTTAGCCGTAAGCTTGTCATGGGCATAGTCAATGGGCAGGGTCAGGATACCGTTATCGTTCTTTTTAATAAAGCCACGGAATATAGGCACTAACAAAACACGGAACGGATCAAACAAACGTTTGGAGCAAAAAATAAAACCATGAAAACAATTATGTAATGATCTTTACTGTTTCATTATTTACGACTTTGATTGCACTATATTTCTCAGTAAATCCCCTGATTTAGAATTAGGAAAAAAGATTCTTAGCTAGTTCTTGAAGTCATTATTGTCAATTTGTAAGAAATAAACATAGTTTTATTTGAGGGAAAGCAGGATAGGTTAGAGCAATTTTCGAAAAGAACAATGGATCCTAGAGAAGTTGCGCTTTGACGCTTTTTCACGTAAACTGAATAATAGCAGCTGTCAAAGTGCTGATTTCTGCCGTATGAATTTCCCAGCTTCTATGTTATGAATCCGAGTAGAACTATAATTCTAAGGAAAACCACATTGCCAGAACGGAAAAAGCGCTTTCAAATGACATACGAGTTTTCGGGTGCTACATGCATCGACAGAAAGCTTTTATACAAAAAACGCTACGATATTATGTTCCAACCCAACACATATCCATAAACAAGTGGATCTCTACAACAGTGATAACCAACCTTTCCATGGGTGTCAAAATTTTAATCGCTGGTTTTCAGGTGACGACTTCATTGGACAATACACGATCCCTTTCGAATGCCTGCAACCAGGTAAGGAAACCTGTTACCAGAAAAACATTACATCGGCCTCTGATCTCATTCTACGTACAGTAACTTGATACCTTTCTTCTTTTCTTCCCCTCTGTCAATCCCGTGCCTTGGCAAGGATCCGCTACTTACATTGTCCTCATAATAGATATCCAAAAGTCGTCTAAACACCTTCAAAAATACCTTTCCCTTTTGCTCTTCATGTGGCATTCAAAAAAGTCCAAGAACGAGTTCTCTAACCACTGCATGAACTATCGACGACGTTTTTGGTGTTCGACTCAGCCAGAGCTAGATGAATTAAAAAAGGCGACAAATTAGCTTGTGAGGGCGGCAAAACGGACTATCTATAATCCAGTCTTCGAAAACGATAGCTCGATAGATACGATAGATCCGAAAGCGCCAGCGGTTTCAGGTGCATAATCGGAACAGACATAACGCGGGAATAACGCATAACATAACCCTGTTTGTTAGTATCCTCTCTATATGCAAAGCAGTAGTTCGTGTGTTTGTCCGTTTGTCTGTTTTTACCACTATGGCTCGCTGACTAGGTAAACCCCCCAAAAAAGCTTGGGGCATGATTTCCAGATGGATGGGAAGCTATCTTTAGGTCGTGTACGGTTGTGGGCAGGCCTTGATTAAGAGTGTACGGTAATGGGCGGAGCTCGAACCGGTGGGCGGGGTTTGCGCCAAAATCTTTGCTGCAAGTGTAGATTTTCGCGTAGAAGACTCGATTGGAGTCAGGAATCGCAGTATTGATTGGGTGCTGTGGTAAAAGTGGAAATTCCCTCAAGTCACATGCTATCCTCTCTATCCTCTCTACCAGTCCCATCGCCCAGCTATGCCGGGCTCTGCTCCTTTTGGAGTCGGAATGCCCGGCTGGCGCTGCGCATTCCTCTCCATCTGCACACGTCGCATAGCACCCATCGATTTGAGATCACCCCCCCCCCTACCAATTTTGTGTTCGTTCTCTTTACAGCGCACTCAGCAGTGCAAAGTCTCACAAAAGTGGCATGCAGTGTTCACCTCTGTGACAACGTTATCTTGCCGTTAGTCCGCATCTATGGAATTGGATTTTGATTTCTGATGGGGAGTGATGGCAAGAAAACGTACTGAGAGAGGTGAACACTTACGTATTCAGATCATAGGGGAGTCCATCGCTCCAAGAACTGACGACACGGTAAAGAGAACGAACACAACTGGTGATGGGGAAGGGGAGGGGATGGGGGTTGATTGAAATCGATGGGCGCTAAATCGACGTGTGCAGATCACAGGAATGCCTAGCGTCAGCCGAGCATTCCGACTCAAAGAAGGAGCAGAGCCGGCGCCCGACTGGTCAAACTAAATCCAGTGTCATTTCTTATTCTGCCCTGTTAGCTTTGATGTGATAGCTGGAATCTGCCCTATAACTCTTTTCGAAATTAGTGGCATCGAATGATAGCCACTCTCCGATGGATGTGGTTCATGTGATGGCGGTGGCTTATATGATGGACGGGGTCCATGGGAAGGCTCCACCACCTTTCGCTCTTACTTTCAATTCCATTCTTATTCGACGAGTCCATTAAAACACCAAATCGCTGTAAAATCACCTCGTTACGCCTTGCCCATAGCGGTAGTCGACAGAAAGAGCGGATTGATTAGTTTATAGTCAAGGTTGCCATCATAGCGTTTTCAGTTGCTTCTTTTCCCACTTTTCATCAACTGATTCCATTTGCATCTCTCAGAAAAAAATGTTAATTGATAGTCTAGTTACCTATGTGTTGTGTCCCAGTACGCATGAACGTCTCAGCTCCCAGACCCAGCGGACGAATGGTTTGGAGCGTCGAGGGATTAGTAAAGAAGAGCATGTGCCCAACTGCAATGCTCCAAGGTACCTCCTATGTCTGAGCACCCTCTTTGGCATGAGCTTCAGGCGAGCAGACGCAATATATCGTTGTGCAGCACAACGTCTTTGAAAAGAATGCCGGATGCCGGGGTTCTTTGGAAGTCACACAAGTGGAAAAAAATGAAATGTGATGTTCGAGCGCTCTGTTGAGGATCGAAGAGCACGAGACATGCCATATACCCCTGGACGTCAAAGATCGAGCGGTTGAAGCACGTAGAGCAAGTTCGAACCCGTCCGGCCAGACTTGTCCGTCAACGAATGGATCCCACGGGGCAGTTAATGACTACTGATGACCGTCGGCCGGCCGACTAGATCTTTTCTCAAAGAGAATAGAGTGAATTCGGATTCTCCTGGGAAGATTCTCCATGGGATCGACGGTAATAACAAGTAGTAACACTACCACCGCTAATGTGGCCCAGTTGACAGCCGAAGTGACCGTGCTCCCAGTACTGAGCAGAATGTTAAACTGTAGAACCAAGGGAAATGAGAGAACAGAGAATTCACTGATACTGCCATGTCTCGCGGGAGCAGCTTTAAAGACACAAGGTGTAGTGGCCGTAAGAGTTGGAAACAATGCGGAACTCAAATTCGGAATCCATTCACGCCCTGACCAGCTAATCCCTCAGTCCCTTCGAAGTCCGCTGATTGATTGCAGATTTGGTAACCCACTTGCATACCGCAACGATTTTGAACGGAAGTTAAAAATGTGGCCCAACCCGAAGGAAGATTCATAAACGCCTCTTCACCTTCCTTATGATAAAATGGTCACAATCGTGGTCCAACCCCGTGACTGAGTCTAAATAAATGGATGAGTTGAATCAGCTGGTGAGCCAGCGGTCATAGTCGTGGCCCCTTAGGTCGATCGTATCACATGCATGAAGAATGCAGATATGAATTGGTCGCTAACAACGCCGCGTAGCTTGCTTTCGTCGCGTTGCGCACACGCGTGACAATCGATTCAAGGTGTTCGCTTGATGTGTGACCCACAGGGAACGCAGGCAATACCGCAATGAAAGAGAACGGCGCGGCGTCCGCAACCATTTGGTATGCACCATTTGTGGTGCATGACAAGGACATGTCATGTCTGTCTGAGGCAAATGTCAGAATTTGGGACCTTGACGACTGACACTAACGAATTTCAGCGATTCAGCGATTCGAGAGCTCGGGAAAGTGGCCTAAGCCAACATGCGACGTGGGGAGCCCTCTTTCGCGCGTCCGACTTTCGCCAATACTCACACTGTCGAATAGCTGGATCGTTGGAACGGCTGACACTGTCGGAATCGCAAGTGCCACAACACCAAAATCGCGAAGTGTGGCACCAGCCCAGGAAATAATTTCCGCACCCTGGAGAGCGAGTTATCTAAAAACGGCGATCACGTCGTAGAAAGAAGTTTAGTTCGCGCTAAGTAACTAAACAGCTATAGGTACAATTCCCTGCCCATCTAATTGGCATTAGATTGATATATTTGGAGGTTTCGCCCACTGGTGAAAAACTCAATTTCGCATTAAAGTCATTACTTCTCCATCTCAAATCAAAACTAATGGAAACATGAGCATAGCGCTCACTTGACTCTCTCTGATGGACAAGGCGTTTTTAACATTCCTCACGAAACCAACTGACTGCTTGTCAAACCCCACGGCTTACGAGATTCAGCTGACATTGGTTCAGTCCCAAATGACAATAGGGC